TTGGAAAATTTGAATGCGTGGAAACTCGTTAAATTTCTTAGAACCATATTTAACCGGATCTGTCTCGTTACCGCTCCGAAGAAAAGTTAGCAGGCGTCATATTTGAAAATTTAACCCGTTCAAACACAATTTTCTCGAAAACTTTTTTTTTAAGTCATGCTAACCTACGTTAGGGTATCAAAATTATTTCATGGGGTGTGGTGTGATTGTGCATGTGCCTTAAATAAAGTGAGGGAGATTTAGTTCATCCCTCGACTGCTAACGGTGTGTAACAATCTCGTTGAATCATCGGTTCAAAGTAGTTTTTGCAAAGGTCAAAAAAACGCTACATATAACCGTAGGATCCATCTGGAGTGGTATCCACTGAGTAACCATTTTAGAAGATTCTTACCAACAAAAGTTCTCTATGTATTCTGATTTAGGAAAAATCCTACATCGAATGAGCTTAATATCAATGGATCGTACCCACCGTATTAATGATCTTTTAAGCTGGAAACTAACTTTTTGGGCTTTTAAACACACACGAGCTATCTCTTATTACTCGACAAATACAAAGAAATAATATGATATTCTCAATCACCATTCCTTTTTCTATTGATGTGCCGAAATCATAAACAGAAAAATGAGAAAAATGTTTTTTGAAACACCTGAAGGATAGCTCAAAGAAAAACAACTGCTCATTGATTAAGAGTGATTAGGAATGATTAGGGGTGATTAGGGGTGATTAGGAGTGATTAGGGGTGATTAGAGAACTTACGAGGAAACGTGTTCTCTTGTTCAAACGTCTCGAGCTTATCTTTTGTCCACAACTAAACTTCGATGAGGTATGAAAAACCTGAAATGGATTCATTCCCTCGTGTCTTAGTTCCCGAGTTATGATCGTTTTACTAGATTTTTGGCTTATTGCTAGATATTTCGGAAAAACTCGAATGACGTATTTTCGACCTGGAAGTTTGTCCATAGATAGGTCTCATCAACACTAGGTTGTTCTACAAGTCTCAGCTCGAAACAATATCTTCTTCACCAGATCATTAATTTCGAAGACAAATCAGTTTTTTTCAAACAATCGATAGAAGAAAGGATTTTTTAAATTCGATCATCTGATGAAGGAAACCTCGTTTCGAGCTGAGACTTGTAGAACAACCTAGTACCGATGAAACCTATCTATGGGCAAAACTCCAGATCGAAAATACCTCATTCGAGTTTTTCCGAAATATCTAGCAGGAAGCCGAAAATCTAGTAAAACGATCATAACTCGGGAGCAAAGACACGAGGGAGTGAATCCTGTCCAGGTTTTTTATGCCTCATCGAAGTCTAGTTGTGGCCAAAAGGTAAGCTCTAAAACGCTTGAACACTTAAATACGTTTCCACGTTAGTCTCAAAGTTAGAATTGAAAATCTACACAGAAAAAAGTCTCATTAAGATTAGTTTAGTCTCATAATTTTAGGGATTTCAGTTTTTCGTATCCTAAACTACGACTATGGTAACAACATGTTTGTTACATAGCTCATATATACCAAAACGTTGCGGTGTTTTTATATCAGAACTGGAGCAACAAAAACATCTGAAACTTTCACAACAAACTAATCTGAATGAGACTTATTTCTGCGTAGGCTTTCAATTCGAAATTCGAAATTAAATTTCTCCGGTATTCTTGAGGCGGACCATGGTATTTGGGCTAAAAGCAGCGTAAAACCTCGGCATCCGGATAGCAATAAGCTAGTGCACTGTAAAAAAATAGTAGAATAATAAGCCCTGCAAAAGGTTTATGAAGTTAAAATACTCGAGATGAAATTTTCAGAAACTCTTTTTTCGGTGCATGCTACTTTCATAAAGCCTTGCACGTTGATAAAGTTAATAAACGCGTTGAGGGTATACAATTTTTTCTCATAAACCCCAAAATGGTGTTTTAACTTTACCACTGTGCAAGAGTTTATGAGATTTACCATAAAGAGTTTATACCAGAGTTTATTACCATTTACCCTAAAAGAGTTTATGAAAATAGCATGCGCCGAAAAAGGGTTTCTGGAAATTTTATCTAGGGTATTTTTACTTCCTAAACCCTTTTGTAGGGTTTATTACTCTACTCTTGTTTTTATAGTATGACCCGAACGCTCTGCTAGGTATTCATAGCTCGTTAGAGTCTACATGATGCACATAGTTCTGACTAAAAATCGATTGAACAGTAGGTGTTTTTCCTCATAAGTTTTATCTTCCCAAGTCTTCAGTTTCCCAGTTCTGGGGAGGCTCAAGTCTTCCTACGTCTAATGGTTCCGTTACCTATGATAATGACTACCCCAAAAGACCACAACACGTTACAAGGGGTGATTCCTAATAGACCTCGAAAAGTTATACGGGTAACCTTCTAGTACACCCTGATTAGTTGAAGGAATTACTCTCTAGTTGGCCCTTTAACATGGTACGGACTACCGCAGTAGAACTGGAAAAGCTAGTTACGATATTTTTTTCTTATGTTATTCATTCATTTACTTTTTTGTAATGACCAAAGGTCGTCATTTATTCTTTATTTTGTCTTTATCATAGAAATATAAAGGTTTATTTATAGTTGTAAAAGGAAGTAAATATAATGTTACATCCTGAATGAGAATAAAGTCTGAATTAGATGGTATTTGAGTCAAAATTATCACTTAATACTCAATTTCTAGTAAATTTAGGGGTTAAGTAAAAAACTTAATTTTAATATTAAGTATTAAGCAATCATCTAACGCTGAATGTTTTATGCCTTGATATTAAGCGTTAAGCAAAAGCATTTAATAAAGAAACTTAATTAAATGAAGTAAAAAAATCCAGTTGCTTCGGGATGTTACGTGCACCATACTAACTAACCCCTTATAACGTAACCTTTCACAGTCTGGATTTATTTATATTTATCTTTTTTATAAAAAAATCCTAGTTCAATTCGTTACAAACATTGCATGGAAGCTGTTTAGCGCGAAATGTCAAGGATTTATTACGTTACGTACCTTTTACGTACCTTTTACCTTTTACCGTTACGTAGCATTTAATAAAGAAACTTAATTAAATGAAGTAAAAAAATCCAGTTGCTTCGGGATGTTACGTGCACCATACTAACTAACCCCTTATAACGTAACGACTACTTCGTAAGTTACCTTGGAAAAGCCGCAGCTACTACCAGCAGCTAGCCCTCCTAAAGTACAGTTGTTATCCGAAGACAATAGGTAAAAATTTGTGGATTTCAACTAGTGCTGGAGACGTTCCACTTACTGTCTCAAAATAGGCCGTGAAAAGTTACAAAGGAAGCCCGTCTGAGTAGTTCTCAAAAAGTTGTTGTGGGTATTCACGGATAGCGTTTAAGAAGCTACTCAGCATGCTTTCAGGTAATCCTCTAAAAGTCGCTACGGTGCACTTAGGTAGTTCGTAAATAGCTATAGGAAGTATGTATCAGTATTAAATATAATGTTACAAAAAACAACGCCAAAGCATTAGTTTTAATTCAACTGCTAATACTTAAAGTATCAGCATTATTTTAATACTAATACTAACCCGACACTCCTCCGTTCCACTCTAATTCATTTGAATTAATATCCCCCACCGGAAAGGTGAAAAGTGAATAAATTATAGTAGACTATGGACTCTAATATGACTGACTCATTTGTTCCATATGAAGTGACCCACATTTCTTTGGCTAGCGTGTTTGGTTCACTTCATAAGACCTGCAAAATTGTAGTTTTCTTTCAATACATAAAAGACAGGAGTTCAGTTCGTTTTGCAGAGTCTTAATCGAAATGTTTACATTTTCTTTTTGTTTCTATGTATGATTGACAGATATTGGATGCAAGTGGAATTATCACATCCACCATCGGTATCGACAGTTACAAAACCTGTGAGTATTCAGCACTGGAATTTCTATTATGAGTGAAATTTTTTGTTCCCTTTTTTCAGTTGGAAGTGCCTGCTGATCATCTATCCGCTTGCTTGAGAGTCTTACGGAAAGAACTAAAAACTTTCCAGGATTTACCGAAAGAATTTTTTAAAACTGATTTTTAGGTGAACGATGTTATCGATACAGGAACAACAATCAACGAAACACCATCATCGTTAGATAACATTGTGCAACAAGAAGCTGTTGTTATTCCATTGAATAATAGACGTCGACCTGATCGATTTAACGTCTTGAACCATTGCAAGCAAAACCGTTTGATAATGGCGAATTAAAAGTACATCGTCCAATTGTAATGGAATGTCTCTGGCCTAAAAATGATCTTCGAAATAGGTACAGGTGTTGTCTACACTGTGAAATCTAAACTATTTAGACCTTTTTTATTTTCTTTATTTGATTTCCTTGTAGACATCTGACTTTGATGATACCCAAAACGAGTCGAATATTAACCATGAACTGTGCTATTTGGCTGATGGGTTAGAAAGAGAAGGAATTAAACTTGACAAACAAATAGAAGCTGAAGTTTTGATTAATCAATTATATAAATCGGTAGGAGTGCCGTCTGACGCAGTAGGCAAAGAATGTTTACACCTTTATTCGATGGAAACATTCCTCTCTTCGGAACGCAATCGGTTTTTATGTGAAGAAGATCGTACAAAAATTGAAACATATGGACCATTTGTTCGTCTTTTATGTTTTTATTTTAATCAACCGTCGTCAATTGAAGTTCCTAGTATTGAAGTTTATTGTAGGATGGATTTATCATCGTCGATGATCGACGCCGGCAAAGAAGGAGCGAAACGTGAAACATCATTTCGATGGGCTGGTTTTAGTTCAACAAGTTGAAACCGAGAATTTGCTGAAAATTTTAACACAAATACTCTTTTTATCATGCAGCTGAAAAAGACTTACTCAAAAGAAAAGAAAGCCATTGATATTAGCCAGGATTCAGTATTTTCACAAGAAGACGAAGTCTTATTAAAAACTGGTGTTGAATTCACAGTTGAGGAAGTTACATATGATGACGGAAAGAAAAAACATTTTAGTAGTCTTAACGTTTATGTTTAGCAACCTTCACATCAACCGAACTCAAACAGCTATATTTGTTAATTTGTTTGTATTTCACTGCACATCGATTGATCAAATAAAAGAAAAAGATTGAAAAGAAAATAGCTTATAACAAAGCAAGTTTTTCCATCACTCGTCAAAACTGATTTTGAAGAAATAGAATATTTTTTAAATTAGATTCATTGTTGCAAAAAATAGTTATGAAACTTGTACTTAAAAATACGATGCAGTTCCATCGATTTGAACTTTGATACACGGAATTGATTCTTAAAGTGCTACTGATCCAAAGACACTTCTATAGATTTTATATTCATTGAAAACTTACGACTTTTTCGGGAACTATGTGAGATCTATAATCAGAATAAAAAAATTGATGACTAAACAAACAACCATACCATTTATCTGTAACTCTAACGCTGCATACACAAGAATGCGCATACTGAATAAATCGAAATTATGTTAATTTTATATGCATTCATAAAGGTATAAAGATTTTAAAGGTAAAGCCATTGTCAAAGACCGGGACCGGGACTAAAAAAATATTTTGAGCGGGACCGGGATCAGGACCGGGACCGGGACTAGAAAACAGCTATTTTGCAGATCTCTAGCTGTAATTACACTAATGCGCAACTTTGATAAGTCATCATTAATTGAACGTTTTTGATGAAACGAAACATCCAATTTATTTGTTGATAGAATTTATACAAATATGTAAGTTGTAAATATCTTTATGTCCTTGAAATGATAAAATTAATGTATTTTTTTATTGTTTTATATAAATTTATCTTGAATAAATAAATACAAATGATTATTATTTTTTTATTAATTATCTAACGAGGGAATCCCACGAAGTGATTAAACGCTTTTTGCTCGGAATCTAGTGGGTTATAGGTTATCGACCATGCTGATTACGAATACGACCATGCGGCTTCCGCATAGCCCTTCGAAGACCTGGTTTTCTAGAAAACGA